TCGAACTAACCAAATTTGAGGAAAAAATCCTGAGTTTTATGACGCCGATCGAAGGAGAATGGTGAGGATTCCATCTCATTGTCATTCGATTCCAGCATCATGAAACTAAAACTCCAGCCTAAAAATAATACTCGTTTCATTGCCTTACTTACCAATAATCAGCTTCTCTTTAGGAGCTCCCAATTTGACCCATAAATGGGCAGCATGGTCAACAGACAGCTGTTTCCTCCACTCGGAGTCTGATGATGGAGCATACAGTGGGGCGTTGTGGCCAGTCTCTCGTTCCCATTTTCCGTGAAAGTCGTATGCCATGAGATTAATGAAGTCGAGATAGCTGTAAAAGATTTTTCTGGTTATTGCGATTCATGTTGGGTTTATTTTTAAAGAACGCGTCCTGAATTTAAAATCTTGTTTATCACAAAAGATCAACAAAAATGTTCAATAACAACGAAAGCTTCTATTTTAAGTTCTAAATTTAACATTTATTAGGGGTTTTCTTTAAAAGTTAGATTGTAACAAAAGCCTTTTTTGTGCTGAGCAAAGTATAGAACTTAATTCATGACAATAAAGACTTGCTTCAGTGAGGTCGTTAGAAGTAATTTTAGATGAAAAATTTGTTTAATGAAACGAATGAAACTTAGTAAAGAGAATATTATGAGTTTATAAAGAAGAAAGAAGTTAAGTGGGCGGGGTATGGCCTTCGTCATCAACCCAGTTATACGTCCCATTACTGGGCATGAGTCGCGTCCGAGTTCCATGCAAGGGTTTAGGCTATAGTCCGCTACACTGGCCCAATGTGGGTTGTGAACCTTCTTGATGTTTTTAAATTCTGAAAACTCAGTGCTTGAGAGGCAGTTGATCAAACCATTATGCTGCCACGGCTTTTTCCAGGGTATGAACTTGCGACGACAAAATCGTGTCCGCAATGTTCAATGAGCAATTCTATATATATGGGGTGCCTCTTAAATAAAGATGATATAATAATAATAACGCAACAACTCAACATAGCCCCGCACTAGGAAATCCTGTGTCGCGGGTGCTATGGACACACACATGGACAACCACAAATTACACCCAAACTCACGAGAGAAATAAATGTAGGCCATACAAATATTTCTACCGGCCCGAGAATCGAACCCGGAACCTCTGCGTAGCAGTAAAGCATGATAACCGTTGGGCCACGGGCCAATTAAATATATGTATTACGTTAATTTCTAATTCTACGTACATTTACCAATGTTTAGTAGCGCTATGAAGGAATATATCGTAATAAAACCTATGCGTTGAGGAAGGTTGCAGCCCTTGGAAGACGTGTGAAGTCCCCAACCCACACTGGGCCATAGTAGAGAGATATTTTAGTAGCAGTAGAGCTCCTTGTGAAAGAGTTCGTCTAGGGAGGTACTACCAGCTTGCCGCCAACCAGTAGGTAATGTGAGCATTATTGTAATCCGGTTTAAAAGGGTGCTGGTGAAATTACAGGCACGTGGGACTTGTCAACTTACGTCTCAGCATGACAGGCGCAGTGGCAGTGCCTCACAAATCCCTTGCGATTTAAAACTCTGAGTGGCACAGGTTCCCTGCAATTACTATAGGCGAGCGTGTCGCTCATACCAGACACACGAATTGTTTCTCCCGTCACTCTTTGTACCGTAATGAAATAAATACAGTAGGCACTGATAATAAATATGTTTTATTTTATTTCCAATTTCATTTTAATTAATAAGTTTAATTCAATAAAATAAATCCATATCCAAAATTTGAAGATTTTATGGTAAATTAAAAATAAAAACTTAAGTTCAGAATAACCCTATTCTTTGGTTTGCGGTAATATTAAACATAACTGGTTGATATTTTTTCCATCTCAGCCGTGATTGGGATTTGTAAAGAGCCAGAAATAATAATAATAATAAATGAAGCGCTCTACAAAAATGACAGTTCGATAATTGATACGTATATACATATACAATGCGCGATGGCTATTCGTGAACTGATTTAAATGAAATGACAACAATGTAAAGCGCTGATGGAGTGCAATGTCAGTCGTAGACCGTATAGATCCGAAAAAATAAAATTTCAATTAGAATTAAACTTACTCTATCTACTACGTCCTTGTACTTACCTAGCAACAGCAGGGACGTCATATCCACTTTTGATGTTATCTGGGCCGACGGGCACGGCAGCTGTCAGCAACAAACGAGGCTTCTTTTTCTCCTGGGCCTCCGCTTCAAACGCTTCGCGGAGCTCTGAAACAAAGTTAACGGCGTTATCATTATTTATTCAATTTCTTTATCTTAATCTGCTCTATATTTTTAAAAGCATTCAAGAAACACTCGCAAGTATTTTCTAAATAGGGTATCCATCTATTCATGTGCTATGAACCGAACAAAGTAAGTGCACTTTAAGAAATCTCCGGGGTTGCTGTATGTACACAGTTTCTCCATTCTGGGAAAATGGAACAAAAGTAGCATGGATGCGACCTTACATAACAAAATCCTTAAGCTAGTACGAGCACGAATAAAACAAGGAATTACTGCTATTCTACCTATCCATCCGACCGTGTTCGGTAATGGCCACCACTTTGACTCCTAGTAGAGTTGGCGCATTAGCGTCGTCAAAAGTTTCCTTATCGGTTGTTTTCGATTTCCATGGGATCCCCTCATCAGATTCTGAGTTCCTGGTGACAATGGGACTGTTACGTACTCCTTTGTACATTTTATACTTTTTTCTGGTTGTCATGGTGACGACGGTGACATTTGTTGATTACATGTACTGTGTCAAGTGAAAAGTCGTCTTTTATTTGCGGAATTTATTTTTTTAAACTGTGATAGCCGAAATGACGGCATAACAGCCACGTCAGCGGCGGCATCGGGGACCACCTCGAGAGTATATCCTTTCAAATAAAAAAAAAACATTTTCAAAATCGGTCCACAATGTGAGTACACGACGTGTTCATAAAATTTGAGGATTTTTTCCTCAATTTCCATGAGATCTCCTCAACAGATTTTGACTTGGTGACAATGGGACCACCATGAGACTGCACCCTTTCAAACAAAAAAGGAATTTTCAAAATTGGTTCACAATTGACGGAAAAATCTTAAAAAGTACATAAAACACACATACAGCACGTATAAGCTACTCCTTTTTTTGAATTTGGTTAAAAAAGGCAATTTCCAAATGAATACTATCATTATTAAAGCCTTACATTTAATATCAAAACATTTTTGAATAACACACTGATCAGACGAGTCACGATACTAAGTGCAGAAATTTGATATAATTTCACATCGCCATGGTCCTAAATAATATAGATTTTTTTTATTAGTATGAGAAAAAGTTATTGCCATAACGCAAAATCAATTCTAATCTATTCCGTTGTGTTTCTAATGGGATAAGTCTAATAATAAGTCACCCTGTACAATTTCACTCCCAAGACCAAATAACCCATCTTACAATGGTGACAAAATTTTCCATAACAGTCGCAGTGCCACTCCGAACTAAATCTACTAAATCGCAAAGATCTGAGGGGCACTGCCACGGCGCCCGTCCCCTTACCTTTTAAAACCGGAACTCAGTAATCTGACGTAATAGTTTCAGAGTTATTCAATGATAAAGATTTGCTTGAAAAGTCTGTATTGTCAACCCTACATCATAAAACACAGCTGTTTGGAGGCAACTACCGGGAGGTACTCAGGGCAAAAACTTTGTCGTTGATCAGCACCCCATCAATCGCTTTCTTTGATCAGTCATCATGTGAACGATGATTAATTATGCGGGTATTTTATTGTATTACTTTGAGCGTAATTAACACCCCTAAATTCCGTGTTTGACGACCCAATATTTACATTTACCGAATAAATGCACCTCTCATAGAATATTCGGGCGACATGTTGTTTCTGAACTATGTGTGGTCATAAACTACCTACAACGACTTGAGAAAAGTAAAGTTTTCTAAATGACCCTATCAGGAGTTTAACTCATATTGCCTGCATCATAAGATAAGACTAACTTAATAAACCTAACTATTTAAGTAAACACGTCCTACAACATGCGTCAAGTACCCAAATTACAATAGTCTCATAACCCTTAATCCGGCCCAAACGTAAAATAGTAAATTGAGGCAGCCAATCACGTCACTCATAACCGCTTAGAGATTTCGAGATGGACACTTGATACCTGCTGTCTGTTTTTGGTAGCATAATCGGGAGATCGTTTCTTTTGTACTAGTCTATTTTTCAATCCATTGGGAAATAGTTTTAAATTACACTACAAGAATTTACCAACTTTAAAACGAAGAGTTCATTTTAATGAGATCAACATTTAAAACTAAAATTTCTGTTTACTTGAGCTGAGTAGTTGAAATTTTAATAAATGTAATGTAAAAACTTAGAATAATAACGCATAGAAACCTAGTCCGCACACGCTAAGTGAGGCAAATCGAAGCGCGCCAAAAGGGCCTACATGAGCGGGCGGGCCTTCAGTGTTCAAGGTCAACTTGCACCGCGAACAGATCAAGAATTTTAGCTAAAAATGACGAAATGTGCGAGTGTAAAAATACGTCAGACAAACATAAAATTGATACTAACAGCACATTCCACAAGGAAGTAACGCGATTCAACTTGTATTTTTATGTAAATATTCACTAAAACCGAAAATTAACCTACTATTAAAACTAGCCTACATGAATTAGATTTTTGCCTCACTTGTGACAGTTCGTTTGATATGAAACTATCATTCTATGCGTTATTATTCTAAGTGTAAAAATAAATAAATCTATTTTTGGAGGTCTGCAGACCAACTCCAAGGTTCGTTTTCTTATTTTTGATTAAATTTGATTATTTATTACAATTAATTAAACGACCTGCATTTACGTTACTTTTACAAGACGATTATTGCGAAACCTATTTCTTTATCATAATTGTCTTTTTAAAATTAACATTTAGATATTTAATAATCAATGATATCCGACGCGTACGCCGGCCGTCGCCGCGCACATCTCTATGCAATGTTGCCAATTAAGCGACTTTGTCCCTTTATAAGACGATTTGACATCAAGAGCGTCTTTTATTTGTAGCAACAAACAAAATTTTATATTTTTTGGCGCGTATATGATTAAGGTTTAATCGTTTAAAATTTATTATTATTCTTGTCTTAGAATTCAGGAGTCCTTTGCCTGTACTATGACCATTCTGTTTAATGATATTTGCTTTAGTCTAGTACTACTTTTTCATTCATAAATTAGTTCAAAATGCCTGGTTGTGTGGTAACTCGTGGCCTCATGTTTTTCTCGCGTTTACAACACAAAACGTTTACTTATTAATTTTTGGATTGTGACAGCAACTTATTGGAATAGTGCTGTTTATAAGTAGTGTTTGTGTTAAGCAAGTAAAGTGTATTAGTATATTTGTGTGGAAAACCACATCGGCGTATGTTTTTTAATTACCTATTACCAAGTGAGAACTCTTATTTCTTCTGCGAGTGCCAATGACACGAACGCCGCCTGTGGGGCAGTAGATATACTGACACGATTGATTCGCTTAGGGTTGTTGCATCGCGAAAGGTTTAAATCTGGACGAACATTTTTCAACTGCTCTGATTTTACATTTAAAGTAAATAAAACTCATGTATGTAGGGTTCTTAACGTGATATTTTTGGCTTTGTCGGTCGTTCCGTTCTAACCTGTACATAGTACACGTGTAGAAATGAACTGTGTTAATAAGTGTCATAATTGTACTTTGTTTCCATTGGTGCTAAAGCGGTATTATTATCACTAATTAAGACGTTGTTATATACATAATTATGTATAAATTTACGTCAAAATAAAGCATAGTGAACATAACGACGTTGCTAGAAATATCGTGCAACGTTTACCGAGTTCCAGTAAGGCAACGCCTTGAGGAATTTTTGAAAGGAGCCTCTAATTTTAGCAAGGACAATCAGTACTTTGTATTGTTCTAGGTTAGCGTAGTGAGATATGCTCTATTATGGTTACTTAAGGTGTTTTTCTGGACAGTCCCACATTATCCTACATAGGTTTTGTTTATAATGCTCCTCCCTGTCAACCTCTTGGTTATGTGGGAATGGCACTATGACCTGTGCGATCTAACCCGCACAGGGACCATCTAAGTCAGGTCCTAACCCCGGATCAGCCCGTTGGCACCGACTCATCCAGTTCTCTGCAAGGCTAGTGCTTTAGATGAGCCGCCCCAGGTGCAAGTACAGCACCCTCCCTATTTAACAGATAGGTACCGGAGCTCTAGGCACGCTCATTTCCCGTCGTTTACTAACGGTTGCCATCGTTAATCTTTGCCTTAGTTAGCGTTTTCCTGGACAATGAAAAATAAACCTCTCTTACAACATATACCCTCAGTTAAAAACCAAAATTTAGCAGGTTCTCTGTAGTATTTAATGAGAAATATCTCCACATAAAAATTATGTGCAAAGATAGATATTTCATTTTTAAATGATATGTTTTAGACTTTTATCACATCGTCATTTTCCATCAAGTGAGATGGAGATCAAATGCGCACTTGTTTTTCATAAAAAAAAGTATAACGCACAGTAGCAAATAGGCTTGAGTAGTTCATGAACTAAGAACTATTAGGAATGAGTTCCTTATAGTTCTTAGTTCCGGAGTTTTCAATTAAAATTCCTTTAATGTAAGTTTTCAACTTAGAAAATGATAATCTTATTATATTCACTGGTGAAAACGTATACAGTTCCCCATAAAATAACCGTTTACCTTAGTTAAACGAAATCGTGGTACCATGAGTTTGAACTTAGCTCTATGGTTAATATTATGGATATCTTCTTTTTTAATGCATATATGTATATTTTTACGAGCATACATTATATTTGAGTAAATGTACTGCTACGCCGCAGTCATGACACCAGTCTCCTTGAACTTTTCTCTGAGAGAAACCCTAGAACCTAAACGGTCCACAGTACACGTGTCTTTTTAGTTCAGACGGAATGGGACCTGTTTGCAGAGCCAAAGACGGGAGGAGATCTTATTAGTTCACCTGTCTTTTTAGTTCCTTTAGTTCACAAACGCGAGGCGAGATGAAGCAAACGAGACAATTAATGGACTATCATGGCCTTTAGTACAAGTTCGAGGGAGATGCAAGATTGAACCGTTGCCAGCTCGTGTCATCAGAATAATAATAAAATTGTAAAGAGGGAAAACAATAAAACATTCCTATTTAAACGAACTAATTGGGATCGCTCCCTCTACAGACCGAGCAGG